GAATTTACATACGTGTCCACTCAATGCTTCACATAAACCCCAGACTAAAGAATTTACATACGTGTCCACTCAATGCTTCACATACACACCAGACTAAAGAATTTACATACGTGTCCACTCAATGCTTCACATACACATCAGACTAAAGAATTTACATACGTGTCCACTCAATGCTTCACATAAACACCGGACTAAAGAATTTACATACGTGTCCACTCAATGCTTCACATACACATCAGACTAAAGAATTTACATACGTGTCCACTCAATGCTTCACATACACATCAGACTAAAGAATTTACATACGTGTCCACTCAATGCTTCACATACACACCAGACTAAAGAATTTACATACGTGTCCACTCAATGCTTCACATACACACCGGACTAAAGAATTTACATACGTGTCCACTCAATGCTTCACATACACATCAGACTAAAGAATTTACATACGTGTCCACTCAATGCTTCACATACACACCATACTGGAACATGTGATGTCTGTTGGCAATCTGGCTTTATCTGGCATCCTGCATAGCCCAGGTATTACACACATACACATATGTTGGCATCGTTTCTAAATTTAATGGAGACATATACACATATATTTTCATATCTTTTTAGTATACCAGATATCCCTCATATACACATATGTTGTCGTCTCTTCTACATATCCGAGATATTAGAAATAAACACATGCGTTTACATTGCTTCTACATATCCTGGATAATAAACAATACACGGGGTCAATGGCCTCAATGGCGCATAACCAATCGACACGTATACTTAATTGTGTTGGAGGGGATCCCTTCCAACACTAAAATTAAGAACAAAGAAGAAACATATACACATATATTATCATCTCTTTACAGTATCCCAGATATCCCTCATATACACATATGTTGTCGTCTCCTCTACATATCCCAGATATTAGACATAAACACATGCGTTTTCATTACTTTTACATATCCTGGAAATTAACTTATACACATATTTTATCATGATTTTACAGTATCCTAGATATCCCACATATATGCATAGTAAATGTTGTCATCTCTTCTACATTTCCTAGATATTCCACATACAGTATATACACATATATCGCCATATTTTCTTTATATCCCAGCCACTCCACAAATCTCTTCTCAATAATCCCAAACTAAACTGTTACTTGATTGTAATTTACTATTGCGCTTATTATAAGGTGTTTTAACAATTCGTTGTTTTTCTTTTTTTTTCTTCTTCTGATAATTGCTGAGTTATGTCTTACAGAATACTCATCATTGAAAAAAAATATTTTAGATTTATCGAATCGTGTTATCTTTTGAAATTAATTTTAATTTAAAATTTCTTAAGTCAATAAACTTAAAAATAGCCTAGCCTAGACTAAAACCAAAATAAATGTACAGGTTAAATTAAGTTTCAGAATCAGGAGATTTCCACTCTAAATGTAGGTGAGGTTCTGCTAAACAGTTTTGTGGGTTGGTTTATTTGAAATTCGAGTAATAACAGTCGCAGCAGTAGTAAAAAAAAAAACTACTTTTCGTTTCGGACGTGAAGGTAAATGCGTTTTCTCTCTGGAAGAATTTACGAGGACCAAAAAATGTTTATGTTAATGGCCCGTCTTTGTGTACCGTATAGGTGAGAAAACAGGGGGGGGGGGGGATAAAAGGCGAGTATCTAAATTTGGTTGGCATCACGTTTAAGGGCCTGATAACACTTCCATATCCTCCATAAGTCAACATCGATGTACAGGGGCAACAACCTACAAGTAGAGCGGCATAACTGGGCGTCAACTGCTCGGCGAAGGAGAAACTGACTTTATTTACTGGTACACCCGACCCAAGTGATAATCTCCCCTACTGGGATGTGACAGACATGTTGAAAGCTCTTTGCAAAATATTTTCCAGTAAATGTTGGAGAATGCGGAGTTAGCAAATCTTTTTGGGGTCAGAACCTCCAAGGTTTGTGGTGAGCGGGTTTTATCTCGTCATTTAGGGTAAATTGTGTGGAGATTGTGTGGAGATTGGCATGGGAAAATGTGTAAAGGTTGATATTTTGTGATGGTAGATTTGTTTGGGATAAAATAAGTGTAAAGGTTGATATTTTATGTTGGTAAATTTGTTTAGGGTAAAAAAAAGTGTAAAGGTTGATAGTTTGTGTTGGTAGATTTGTTTGGGATGAAATAAGTGTAAAGGTTGATATCTTGTGCTGGTAAGTGTAAGCCTTATTTTGTTTTGGTAAATATAGCTGAGACAAGTGACGTGGGGGGGGGGGAGGGGGGAGCTTAAATACGGATAACTCGTTGAAGTAGATTTATTTTGAGGTGGAAAAAACATCACCTGATATTTTGTTTAGATCGACCACGCATGCGTAGATCGGTTCCTAAAGTGGGATGAGTTCACTGATTGGCTGGATTCCTCGTTAGGTGCGGCACGTCGTAGATCTTTTGTTTTACCTGGCGCACGCTCTAAATCTTCCTGTATCAATCTGAACCTATGCCCGCCTAGTTAGAATTAACCGCTTTGATAAAGGCATCGGGTGGCAGATAGGGCAATACGTGCCATTCTTGGCCAGATAATAACCAGATTGCCACAATGACATGCGCGCGAACCTAAAATACATCACTTGCCAGGAGGGATGGGCTGCTTGTGTCTCGTGTGATTAACATTTTGTTAAGAGAGAAACTATTCGCACAAAACATTGCTCTGATAAGTTTTTTAAGAGAGAAAATATTCGCACTAAACATTGCTCTGATAAGTTTTGTTAAGAGAGAAACTATTCGCACAAAACATTTCTCTGATAATTTTTGTTAAGAGAGAAAATGTTCGCACAAAACATTTCTCTGATAATTTTTGTTAAGAGAGAAAATGTTCGCACAAAACATTGGTCTGATAAGTTTTGTTAAGAGAGAAAATGTTCGCACAAAACATTGGTCTGATAAGTTTAAGGTTAAGTCAAGTAGTCTCTGATAAGTTTTAAAGTAAAGTAAAGTTTCCTCTGATAAGTTTTGAAGTACGGCTAAGTAAAGTTTTATCTGATAAGTTTTAAAGTAAAATAAAGTTTCCTCTGATAAGTTTTAACGTAAAATAAAGTTTTCTCTGATAAGTTTTAAAGTGCGGCTTAGTAAAGTTTTCTCTGATAAGTTTTAAAGTACGGCTAAGTAAAGTTTCCTCTGATAAGTTTTTAAGGAAAATAAAGTTTTCTCTGATAAGATTTAAAGTTAAGTTTTCTTTGATAAGTTTTAACGTAGAGCAAAGTAAATTTTCTCTAGTTTTTAAGTAAATCTGTATCAAACAAACAAAACAGGAACCAACATCTTGATATTTTTTTTGTAAAACAAGTTTCAGAAATTTTTTAAGCTAATCCAAAAACAACATTCTTCCTGGGTGTACTGTACTGGCTAGAATTTCTAACACAACACAACTCTTACAGAAATAAACTTTATTTTTGTGTGTGTGCGAGCGATGTGTAGAACGTTACTTATTAGTATACGCGATTCTTTTAACTAGCTGTACTGGATTAAATGCTGCTCCACTTAACTCACCCCCATTACTTAACCCCCCCCCCCCTAAAGGAGGAGAGTTACCTCTAACTTGTCAAGTGACGGTTTGGTGGAGGTGGTATGGTGGGGGTGTGGTGGGGGTGGTGTGGTGTTTGTGCGGTGAGGAGTGGGGGGGGGGAATGGATGTTAACGTGTGTTGGGTGCGCAGGTTTATTTATCTTTTTAAAAACAGATATACCTCAGATAAGTTTTTGTATTTTTTTCAACTTTTCACCATTCTGCTTATTTAAGGATCCTGTTATACTATTTAGCCAAATGTTTTTTTTTTTACTACGCTTAACTAAAGTCGGTTACGCTAAGATGTTTACTGCAGGTCTACTAATATATGGACCATTATTTTTATCGATTCTCGCGAGATTCTCGCATCCCAAAAGCTCACAGCCACAGACACGCTCAGCTATCCCGGAACTCATATTTTATTGCCATGGAGATCTGTGTGTTTACGTAACTGCTTCCATTACGTAACTTAGAGGCGTAGCTTGTGACCTTGACCCTACAAGTTTATCTCCATCTGCTGCGAGATTAATGATGAGCACATGCTGAGCCTATCTTCAAAATGGCGGCGTCTTAACAGCATTTAATGAACTCATATAGTCGACTTTTAATAACGTTTTTTTTTTCGTTAGCTTTTTTATGTAAAAAGTCGTCTGCAGTTAGCCAAGGTGGCGTTGTAGACATAGTGTATTCAACTGATTACTTTAAAATAGTATTAGGCCTAATATCCCTCTCACAACTGTATTTTTTTCTACAGATAACATTGAATTGTAAACCATATGCTAATCGTTTTAATAAAACTATTTTAGACGGGGGATAATCCACGCGTTATATAAAACAAGCAGGTTAGGGTTGTGGCTCATGCTATTTTGGGAGGTAAAAGGGTGAGGGGGGGGGGGGTACTTTATAGACTAGAGGATGTTGTTAACACTGGTTTCTATTTATTTCATCGTTTGTAACAGTACTGCTATTTAGAATGGTTGGATGCATAACTTTACACCTAGGTTGTGCTAGTGATTATATTATTCCGTTTTCATTTTTTTAAAATTCCAAATGTTTTGTATGAATGATGGTTGAGTGTGGAGGGTGGAGGGGGGCGGGGGTCTAGAATTAAAACATATATAACATGAGAGGATTAATCTATGAAATTATTACATGCTGTTAAATGGAATATGTGATTACTAAAACAAAACCATATTTTTGGTATATATTGTACAAGATCTCACAACCTTCTGTTTGTGTTTTTTAAAATTGTTTTCGATATTTATCTTTCTTTCTTATGAACTTGCCAGATTTTTATGTTGTGTAGCACGTAAGGGATATTTTGTGTAACAAACTACCACTATATTTAACACATATACATGCATTCATGTTTACTTTAATTGATGGTAGGTCCTTAATTAAAATTTCTGACATTTTGTTTTTATTCAAACTTTCACAGATCCCTGCAAGGTGAAAGAAACTCAATCCACAAGAACCTGGTTGTTTGTCTGTTTGTAGCTGAGATCGTATTTGTTCTTGGCATTTCTGAGACAACAAATTCCGTAAGTTACTGACTCATAATGAATTAAAATACAAACAAATGTAACAAAACAAATGCAACAAAACAAATGCAACAAAACAAATGTAACAAAGCAAATGTAACAAAACACATATTTTCACATTACTTATTTTTTCCAATAATAAAAAAAATCATCCAAACTAAATTATCCAACCATCCCCAAAAAATAATCCAAACGTATAACCTTTAAATTCCTGACTTCCTGTAAATCAACCAGATCCTATGCTCCGTGATTGCTGGCTTTCTCCATTACTTTTTCCTGGCTGCCTTCACCTGGATGTTGATGGAAGGGCTGCACATCATCTTCATGCTGGTGCAGGTCTTTGACGCCTCCAAGTCCAGACTACCTTACTACTATCTGGCTGGTTATGGTAAGACTACCTTACTACTATCTGGCTGGTTATGGTAAGATCTTCCTGTAGACTTTAGTCCGTCCTGACTACCTTACTACTATCTGGCTGGTTATGGTAAGATCTTCCTGTAGACTTTAGTCCGTCCTGACTACCTTACTACAATCTGGCTGGTTATGGTAAGATCTTCCTGTAGACTTTAGTCCGTCCTGACTACCTTACTACAATCTGGCTGGTTATGGTAAGATCTTCCTGCAGGTTTTAGTCCACCAACACAACAAGTCATCACTTATGTGATAGCCAGACTTTTCAACAATGGAGTAAAAAAAAAACATATATGTAATGTCTCACCTTTCATTGAGTGAACTAATAATTACTTATGAAAATGTTTCCAGCTTTGTACAAAAGTTTCTATAATCAAATTTATTTACACAAAAATACAAAATAATTGTTAATGGTTCCACAAAAGCTGTAGTGTAAAAAATTATAATGCTTGGAATCTTCAAGGATTTAAAAAAATAATTATAATAAAGGCATATTAATAAGTAATTTTTTTTCAATAAACTGCTTTACATATCAACATATGACTTATGGTTCTGTATTAATTTCTTTTGACTTTACTTTTGTAGGAGCTCCACTGATCATTGTTGGCACATCTTGTTTGTTTTACTACAGTGGGTATGGAACCAGTCAATAGTGAGTAGACCTAGCTCAACATTACTTGGTGTCATCAGCTAATTTTACTTTAATTACTTGGTGTCATCAGCTAATTTTACTTTAATTACTTGGTGTCATCAGCTAATTTTACTTTAATTACTTGGTGTCAACAGCTAATTTTAGTTTAATTACTTGGTGTCATCAGCTAATTTTAGTTTAATTACTTGGTGTCATCAGCTAATTTTACTTTAATTACTTGGTGTCATCAGCTAATTTTACTTTAATTACTTGGTGTCAACAGCTAATTTTAGTTTAATTACTTGGTGTCATCAGCTAATTTTACTTTAATTACTTGGTGTCAACAGCTAATTTTAGTTTAATTACTTGGTGTCATCAGCTAATTTTACTTTAATTACTTGGTGTCATCAGCTAATTTTACTTTAATTACCTGGTGTCATCAGCTAATTTTACTTTAATTACTTGGTGTCAACAGCTAATTTTACTTTAATGACTTGGTGTCATCAGCTAATTTTACTTTAATTACTTGGTGTCATCAGCTAATTTTACTTTAATTACTTGGCATCATCAGCTAATTTTACTTTAATTAGTTGGTGTCATTGAATCCTAATACTTAAAACCATATAACATATTTTGGAAAATTATCAAAATATAAACTTTTCACCAAGTCAGATTAGCTGTATTTATTATTCACTTTAAGCAGAAAGAAAATCCCGAAATCCTCCATTTAAAAATTAGTTCTCATTAACCTCATTAATCTCTCTCAATTTTTAAACTCAACAATTTTTACACCCAAATTTTTTCAGCTGCTGGCTGACTACAGAAAGATATTTTATCTGGGCATTCGCTGGACCTGTGGCTATCATTCTCTTGGTGAGTCTTCTATATAGATCAATCTTTTTAAAACTTTATTCCCCTTATTCAAATATTGAGCATAACAGTGTTACCTCCCTTAGAAAATGATGTTATCACTTTGATATCATGCACTCACACACGAGTAAGCTCAAAGACATTCATCATTCCAAATTTAGATAAGAACGCTAGCCTAAGAGTCCATTGAGTGTTCTTGAAATCATTGAAAGTCATGGATCAAAAACTTCTGAATTTTTTTATAAGGTTCTCACGGCAAATGTATTTCTCCAGAATGTTTTAAGTAAAATCTAATCAGAAAACAAAGTTTTTATTTTGAATGGTTTCTTGAATGATTATTCATAATTCAATCAATGATAACTAAATATGATAATATAATAATAATACTTAAATAAATATTTCTAAAGGTCAACGCCCTGATTCTTGCCTACGCTTTGAGCACAGTTTGCCGGCACTCGGAGTATGTTTTCAGCTCCAAGGATAAATCCACTGGCAGCGGATTGAGGTCAGTTTCTCCAGACTTTACACATCAAACTCTAGTTCAACATGCAGTCATATAGGCCTATCTCACAAACCATTTGTTTTTATTTCAATCCCATTTTAATTCAAATATTTTCTGGTTTAGGTCATGGATTCAAGGTGCTCAATCCTATTTTAATTCCAATATTTTCTGGTTTAGGTCATGGATTCAAAGTGCACAATCCCATTTTAATTCCAATATTTTCTGGTTTAGGTCATGGATTCAAGGTGCTCAATCCCATTTTAATTCCAATATTTTCTTGTTTAGGTCATGGATTCAAGGTGCTCTTGCTTTAGAAGTACTTCTGGGATTGACTTGGACTTTTGGCTACTTTGTGATTAATGAAGACAGCGTTGCGTTGGCTTACATCTTCACAATCATGAACAGCCTCCAGGGACTTTTCATCTTTGTTTTCCATTGTTTGCTCAACAAAAAGGTTAGTAATTTCAAACCATTTCAAGCAGAATTTCTTAATATCTCTACAAACTGGTAGCTTTTTTTTTTCAATCCTGCTGAAATAAAATACTAATATAAGGGAGATAAACCACAAAATGTTCTAATTATTTCTGCTAAGAGAGTGAAGTCACCATATACTTCAAACAGAGTTTAAGTTCTTACCTTTCAGTAAAATATGCCTTCATGATGTACTATTTAATTAACACTGATATTAGCTTTTAATAACTGTGTTTGATTGGTTGTTCTAAAAACTTTAAATGTCTTGAACAGACGCAGAAAGAATACCGCAGCGTCATGCACACTGTTGTGTCCAGGTCCTCCAGCAGCGCAGGCAGTCATTCAACCCTGACCAAACGGACCAACCCCCACAGTCACGAGCTGACACACAGCCACCAGAAACTGACCAACACCAACAGCCACTCACTAGCCTAGAGTGTACTGTTGCCTCCATTTTTATTTGATGCTTTGTAATTATGTGCCAAGGTAGAAGCGCTTACAATTGATGTTTAAAATATTTTGTTTTTTATTGAAAACATTGCTAAGAAAAATAAGTTTTGCAAATATAAAATTTTAAAATTATAATTTCACATTGACCAACAGATCTTGACCAATTTAAATGTGACCAATAAAAATAATTCAATTAATAATTATTAGTAACAAACAATGTATAAATACTGAGTTTTTTCATCAAAGTTTGAAAATAATCAATACTCTTTTTATCATATCATTTAAAAAATACTCAACATTTGATAAAGTGATTTCACAATTTTACAACTGGAAAAAGTTCAATGAACTCTAGTCACTGACATGGTACTGATATATTGGTGCTGCCCTGTGCTAATCTTGAATATCTATAGTATTTGCTTGTTGTTATAAGTATATTAAACCAACATATTTGTTTGCTGTGTAAAGCTTAGATTAATGTGGTGGGTCACAGACTGCTTAGTTCATTATGTTTTCTTCATTCATCAACAGCACCTTCATTCATACTTCAACTTTTCATTTATTTACATCATACTTCAACTTTTCATTCATCAACACCACCTTCATTCATACTTCAACTTTTCATTTATTTACATCATACTTCAACTTTTCATTCATCAACACCACCTTCATTCATACTTCTCAATGAACACCACCACATTCATTATTCTTAAGCATGTTTTAATGCTTTCCAAAAAAATCTACATGTAGCTTAATTTAGTTTTCAATATTTTTTTCCTTAATGTACAGAAACATGACAAGTATCTGTAAACAAAATGTTTATTTTTTTAACACTTCTCTAGAGGAAACTAAAATGTGCAGACATAATCATTTATTGACTGTGTGTAAAAAAAAAAAGCTAATGTTTTACTATTTCTTGTGTTGATTGCATTTGGTTTCAATACATCAGCACATTTTAATCACACATTTTTTTAAAATCATGTAGAATTTATCCGAATAAAAAATGCTTTGAGACTTTTTTAGCTTTCTTAAGTAATTATAATCTTTCAAACATGAAGCAGTTTTATAAAAAAAAAAGTATCATTCTTATTGAAGATTAATTTAATGTAGTGTAAGCCTAGAAGTTTTTAAAACTTTAAAACTATTTAAGAAGTGTAAATGTTGTATGTCTGTAATTCTAGTACAAAACGGATATATCAGAATGAATACGATACCTAGAATGGCATCCATTATTTGGTGTAAATTTTGTTCACTTATCCTTTACATTCTCACTGAGCAATTATGTCATCAGCTAATCTGAAAATATTATGTAATATTCTAATCTTTTTAATGTTTTATATTTTAATTCATTGAATGTGTTTGAACAGTTGGTTTTACAAATGTGTGTGTGTGTGTGTTTGAAATTCCTAATAGAAATAGAATGATATTCATTATTTTTAACAAATCAACTAATTCACAACAAAAATTGCATGAATATTCTATTCATGTAATTATTCAATATGTTTAGAGCAAATCAATACCAGTAAGTTAATTGTTATTTTTATCAACATCTGAAAGCTAATTACTTAGCTAATTAAAGCTAATTAATAAGGGGAATAAAGCTAATTACTGTAAGACTTCTACTTAAAGTAGGTTAAAAAGATTTACAAATGCTATAATAAAATACAAACCTTAAAATGTAACAACAATTACTTACTAAAAAAAATTAAGATTCATTATTTTAGTAAATTATGGTGCTCTGTATGTTGCAAAAAAAAGTGTATGTTATATGTTGCAAATAAATAGTCTATGTTATATGTTGCAAGTGATGGTGTGGCAGCAAGGTGACGAGTGATTACAATATTTGTTCCACTGTAAAGAAATGGTTTATGTTTTTCTCCCACTCTATTTTTAATGTACATACAGTTCTGCTTCAACAAATTGATATTACATTTACTTATTTAAAGACCAGTACAAATTAAGCAAAAGCAGCTATTTTTTTTTACTTTAAAAAAAATGTGTATCTTCAATTCAGTTTTTAAAAAATCAGCTTGTACGATTTTGTTGGTTATATATAGGCCTATATCATACGTTATTTAGTATAAGGCTTTGTGTAAAATAATGGTGTTATGTAGCTAATAAATATTGTGCAATGTCAGTAATATAACAGATTATCACCAGTAATTCTCTTTATTTACTTTTGACCTTTAGGAGTCACTGCTAAAATATGAATAAAAATCCATTTTGTTTGAATATTCAATCGTTTTTAAAAGCAGATCTTTGATCTTTGTTTGATTGTGTGCATGTATATTTATGAACAGTGACACAAAAAGAAAACTTGCAGGAAGAGAACATTGCAAACTAAGAAAGTTATTTGCCAGAAAAAGGCGCAACTTTTAAAAAATCCGCTTTAAAGCCCATTTTCAAAATAAGTTTTTAATTATATCACAGATGAGCTGAAAAGAGATTCACATCAAATAATTTTAGACACCCTAATCAGGAGAGTCAGAGATATAGAACAGTGAGGCGTTGCAATCATCTGATCAAGTAATGTCTTACTACACAGACACAAATAAACAATATAGATCCAACAAAGATTATACCTGTGGTATAAAGAAGGAGAAACCGATATTATAATTATAGATTATTGATCCAAAAGCCTGAAAATTGCATGGGAAGAATCTTTGGGCCAGTAGTGACATTTTCTCATTGAAAAACAATGCCCAGCCCCTCCCCTTCCCCCCCCCCCCCCTCCCAGCCCAGCCCAGCCCAGCCCCTCCCTTTCCCCCCTCCCAGCCCAGCCCAACCCCTCCCCTTTTCCCCCCTCCCAGCCCAGCCCAACCCCTCCCCTTTTCCCCCCTCCCAGCCCAGCCCAACCCCTCCCCTTTTCCCCCCCTCCCAGCCCAGCCCAACCCCTCCCCTTTTCCCCCCTCCCAGCCCAGCCCAACCCCTCCCCTTTTCCCCCCTCCCAGCCCAGCCCAACCCCTCCCCTTTTCCCCCCTCCCAGCCCAGCCCAACCCCTCCCCTTTTCCCCCCTCCCAGCCCAGCCCAACCCCTCCCCTTTTCCCCCCTCCCAGCCCAACCCCTCCCCTTTTCCCCCCTCCCAGCCCAACCCCTCCCCTTTTCCCCCCTCCCAGCCCAACCCCTCCCCTTTTCCCCCCTCCCAGCCCAGCCCCTTTTCCCCCCTCCCAGCCCAGCCCCTCCCCTTTTCCCCCCTCCCAGCCCAGCCCAACCCCTCCCCTTTTCCCCCCTCCCAGCCCAGCCCAGCCCAGCCCCTCCCCTTTTCCCCCCTCCCAGCCCAGCCCAGCCCAGCCCCTCCCCTTTTCCCCCCTCCCCTTTTCCCCCCTCCCAGCCCAGCCCAGCCCCTCCCCTTTTCCCCCCTCCCCTTTTCCCCCCTCCCAGCCCAACCCAGCCCAGCCCCTCCCCTTTTCCCCCCTCCCAGCCCAGCCCAGCCCAGCCCCTCCCCTTTTCCCCCCTCCCAGCCCAGCCCAGCCCCTCCCCTTTTCCCCCCTCCCAGCCCAGCCCAGCCCCTCCCCTTTTCCCCCCTCCCATCCCAGCCCAGCCCAGCCCCTCCCCCCCCTCCCAGCCCAGCCCAGCCCCTCCCCTTTTCCCCCCTCCCAGCCCAGCCCAGCCCCTCCCCTTTTCCCCCCTCCCAGCTCAGCCCAGCCCCTCCCCTTTTCCCCCCTCCCAGCCCAGCCCAGCCCCTCCCCTTTTCCCCCCTCCCAGCCCAGCCCAGCCCAGCCCCTCCCCTTTTCCCCCCTCCCAGCCCAGCCCAGCCCCTCCCCTTTTCCCCCCTCCCAGCTCAGCCCAGCCCCTCCCCTTTTCCCCCCTCCCAGCTCAGCCCAGCCCCTCCCCTTTTCTCCCCTCCCAGCCCAGCCCAGCCCCGTCCCTCCCCTTTCCCCCCAGCCCAGCCCAGCCCAGCCCAGTCCCTCCCCTTCCCCCCCCCCCCAACGCCAGCCCAGACCCTTCCCCCCCCCCCCCCCCCCCCCGCCCAGCCCCGCCCGGCCACTTTCCCCCTCCCCTTTAGCTAATGTCGTGAAAGTAAATTTAGCAAATGTCGTGAAAGTAAATTTAGCAAATGTCGTGAAAGTAAATTTAGCAAATGTCGTGAAAGTAAATTTAGCAAATGTCGTGAAAGTAAATTTAGCTAATGTCATGAAATTAAATTTTGCTAATGTGGTGAAAGTAAATTTAGCTAATGTCATGAAAGTAAATTTTGCTAATGTCGTGAATGTAAATTTGGCTAATGTCATGAAAGTAAATGTCAATTGATGTCAATACTGTAGATGTTGCTTAATTAATAACACACGACAGGGTTGCTATTTATTAACTGATTGTCATTGACCTCAAATTTGATCTAAGTTGGTAGTGCCCTTGCAATATAGATTGGTGGTGCCCTCACAAAGTAGGTTGGTGGTGCCCTCACACAGTATGTTGGTGATGCCCTAACACAGTCAGTTGTTGGTGCCCTTACACAGTAAGTTGGCGGTGCCCTCACAGAGTAGGTGTGTGGTGACCTCACACAGGTAGGTTGGTGGTGCCCTCACAATGTAGGTTGGAAGTGACATCACACAGTAGGTCAGTGGTGCCCTTGCAATATAGATTGGTGGTGCCCTTGCAATATAGGTTGGTGATGCCCTTGCAATATAGGTTGATGTTGCCCTTGCAATATAGGTTGATGTTGCCCTTGCAATATAGGTTGGTGGTGCCCTCGCAAAATAGGTTGGTGGTGCCCTTTGCAATATAGGTTGGTGGTCGCCCTCACACAGTAGGTTGGTGGTGCCCTCGCAAAATAGGTTGGTGGTGCCCTCGCAAAATAGGTTGGTGGTGCCCTTTGCAATATAGGTTGGTGGTCGCCCTCACACAGTAGGTTGGTGGTGCCCTCACACAGTAGAGTAGGTTGGTGGTGCCCTCACACAGTAGGTTGGTGGTGCCCTCACACAGTAGGTTGGTGGTGCCCTCATAAAGTAGGTTGGTGGTGCCCTCACACAGTAGGTTGGTGGTGCCCTCACACAGTAGGTTGGTGATGCCCTCACACAGTAGGTTGGTGGTGCCCTCACACAGTAGGTTGGTGGTGCCCTCACACAGTAAGTTGGTGGTGCCCTTGCAATATAGTTTGGTGGTCTCCCTCACACAGTAGGTTGGTGGTGCCCTCACACAGTAGGTTGGTGGTGCCCTCACACAGTAGGTTGGTGGTGCCCTCACACAGTAGGTTGGTGGTGCCCTCATAAAGTAGGTTGGTGGTGCCCTCACAGTAGGTTGGTGGTGCCCTCACACACAGTAGGTTGGTGGTGCCCTCACACAGTAGGCTGGTGGTGCCCTCACACAGTAGGTTGGTGGTGCCCTCACACAGTAAGTTGGTGGTGCCCTCACACAGTAGGTTGGTGGTGCCCTCATAAAGTAGGTTGGTGGTGCCCTCACAGTAGGTTGGTGGTGCCCTCACACACAGTAGGTTGGTGGTGCCCTCACACAGTAGGCTGGTGGTGCCCTCACACAGTAGGTTGGTGGTGCCCTCACACAGTAAGTTGGTGGTGCCCTTGCAATATAGTTTGGTGGTCTCCCGCACACAGTAGGTTGGTGGTGCCCTCACACAGTAGGTTGGTGGTGCCCTCACACAGTAGGTTGTTGGTGCCCTCACACAGTAGGTTGGTGGTGCCCTCACACAGTAGGTTGGTGGTGCCCTCACACAGTAGGTTGGTGGTGCCCTCACACAGTAGGTTGGTGGTGCCCTCATAAAGTAGGTTGGTGGTGCCCTCACAGTAGGTTGGTGGTGCCCTCACACAGTAGGTTGGTGGTGCCCTCACACAGTAGGCTGGTGGTGCCCTCACACAGTAGGTTGGTGGTGCCCTCACACAGTATCACTATAGGCAGATAAAAACAGTGTTTTAGTAAATTTAAATTTGTTGTTCAAATTAAAATCTTATAAAATCATAAATATCTTAATGTTATTCTTGGTAATTATGTGAATGAGAATAATTTATTCATACATATCTACAAGTACTATTAATTAAAAGTTTAACATTTTTTTTTTACCTTGTTGCTACTACTCTCTATGTGCTCTATGTGCCTTGTATTGGGGGATTGAAAGACACCAGTATTCATTGTCCATCTTAAAATCAACTTTGGGTTATTGGTTAGCAGGAAACTGGAAAGAATATCAGAATTATTATTTATATTTGTATATATAAATAGTGATATATTACAAAGTGTGGGTGTGGTGATCTATAACAAACTGTGGATGTAGTAATCTATAACAAATTGTGGGTGTGGTGATCTATAACAAACTGTGGATGTGGTGATCTATAACAAGGTGTGGGTGTGGTAATCTATAACAAACTGTGGATGTGGTGATCTATAAATAACTGTGGGTGTGGTTATCTATAACAAACTGTGGATGTAGTAATCTATAACAAATTGTGGGTGTGGTGATCTATAACAAACTGTGGATGTGGTGATCTATAAATAACTGTGGGTGTGGTTATCTATAACAAACTGTGGATGTAGTAATCTATAACAAAGTGTGGGTGTGGTGATCTATAACAAATTGTGGGTGTGGTGATCTATAAATAACTGTGGATGTGGTGATCTATAACAAACTGTGGGTGTGGTGATCTATAACAAAGTGTGGGTGTGGTAATCTATAACAAACTGTGGATGTGGTGATCTATAAATAACTGTGGGTGTGGTTATCTATAACAAACTGTGGATGTAGTAATCTATAACAAATTGTGGGTGTGGTGATCTATAAATAACTGTGGATGTGGTGATCTATAACAAACTGTGGATGTAGTAATCTATAACAAATTGTGGGTGTGGTGATCTATAAATAACTGTGGATGTGGTGATCTATAACAAAGTGTGGGTGTGGTGATCTATAAATAACTGTGGCTGTGGTGATCTATAACAAACTGTGGATGTGGTGATCTATAACAAACTGTGGATGTGGTGATCTATAAATAACTGTGGGTGTGGTTATCTATAACAAGGTGTGGGTGTGGTAATCTATAACTGTGGGTATGGTGATCTATTACTGTGGATGTGGTGATCTATAACAAAGTGTGGGTGTGGTAATCTATAACTGTGGATGTGGTGATCTATAACAAAGTGTGGGTGTGGTAATCTATAACAAAGTGTGGGTGTGGTAATCTATAACAAAGTGTGGGTGTGGTAATCTATAACTTTGGATGTGGTGATCTATAACTAACTGTGGGTGTGGTGATCTATAAATAACTGTGGATGTGGTGATCTATAACAA